CACCTTCTGGACACATAATGTAGTACTTATGTCATATTCTGCAGATAGATCTTGGCTAAGTACCTGTGTCATGCTCTGCAGATAAGACTTGGCTAAAACAAAAGATCAATCAAACCTCTCTCTCCACAACCCTTAGTTTAGTTCGCTTGGACTGAATATTAATTTGGTGAAGGTTGCACACTCTCTAGCCTTGTGGCCTAGTTATTCTCATCTTTTAGTGCTGCTACAGAGAGTACTCCCAATCTTGGGCAGTTCTCTGCATTGTCTCTGGAATAGTGCCAGCACCAACATAGTGATGGGCTCATCATATACAACTGATATATATTTGTTAATATATTTCATATATATTATTTGACATATACTTCCTATGTATATATTTGATATGTCTTTCTTAGACTTGTACATCACACATCATAGAGAAACCAATGGGAGAAAGAAGGTCGAGGAGCATGTTTACCGCACACCTATTATGTGTGAAGCTCTTTTGACATTTTATGTTATCTCACCTGACACAACTCTTGGGTAATATGTTCATTATACAGATGAGGAAACCAAAGCTCAGAGTGTTTAGTAACTTGTACAGAGCTGCCAAGTTGTTAAATGATGGACGCAGTTTCAAATTCGGGTGCATCTAGCTCTGAAGGCCATGCTCTTCCCAACACACTGCATAGTTGAGTCTCACCTGCCCCTACACATCAAAGCCTGTTTTGCCTTATCCAAGCCCCTGGCTACTGTCCAGCCTGTCCTCCTTTGTAACAGGCCCATTTACAGTATACACACTTTCACATCAGATTTCCCCCTAATTGGATATCCTTCTTCCTCTCCAACTATGCAAACATAACTGTCCCTTCAAAAGTCATTTTCTACGTGAAGTCTCACTTCCTCACCAGCCCTTTCCTCTCTCAGTGTGAATTGCACAATTTGGTTTCTGTGAACATAAGTTAGTTTGAGCCATGTCCTTTGCTGTCCTGTTTTCTAATTAGACTATTATTTCAATCCCAGTCGCATTATAAATTCTTGCATTTTATTAATAGTTTTCCTTGAATGTCCCGTTCCTTCTCCTCAGCATTAATAGGTCATAGTACAGCATAAATGCTTCAGTTCTATTGAAAATGCTACCTTTGCCTATTTTGTAGTAAATTGAGAGGCAATGTTATGTACTGAAAACTGGACTGGGTGTCAAGAGACCTGTGTTGACATTCTATGCCATAAACTCATTGTGTCCCCCAAATGGGGCAAGTAATAGAACTTCATTACATCTCACTTTCTTTACCTGTAAAATAGAGGGTTCAGACTAGATGATGCATAAACAGAATGCTTATAGATATTTATTTTAATTTGTGTTTCTAAAAAACGAAATTATAATTATGGCCATACAGTTTTGTAGACAGGTTTATCCAAGTTTTCTCCATTTGGAAACAGTTCTTCCTTCTGTGTCTTCCACTTCATTGATAAGGTTCAGCAGATACAATACGTAAAATACAGACATTAACAGAAAGCTCTTTTCAAATTACAGCCAGCTTCCCAAAGCAAACTCCCCCCAACCCACCCCAATATATTTAGCACATGTGTTTCTGTAAATGTGATTTATTAGTGAAAATCAGTGTGTCCTATCCTGAAACGCAGACTACCACCTGTGCATAACACACCAGAAGTAAAATAATATGTTCATAATGTAAAACTCGGTTCAAAGTCAGTTCCATCTTTCTACCCATACTTTTCTTTTTTATGTTGTAGCTTCTACTTAGCTTTTATTTAAGTTGTCTATATGTATTGGAGGTGGGAGATCGATTCCAATTTTTAATGTGGAAGATTTATCAGGTTCATTTTTTTTTTTTTTTTTTGAGACAGTCTCACTCTGATGCCTGGGCTAGAGTGCCGTGGCGTCAGCCTAGCTCACAGCAACCTCAAACTCCTGGGCCCAAGGGATCATTCTGCCTCAGCCTCCCAAGTAGCTGGGTCTACAGGCATGTGTCACCATGCTCAGCTAATTTTTCCTATATATTTTTAGTTGGCCAATTAATTTATTTCTATTTTTAGTAGAGATGGAGTCTCGCTCTTGCTCAGGCTGGTTTCGAACTCCTGATCTTGAGCGATTCTCCAGCCTCAGCCTCCCAGAGTGCTAGGTTTATAGGTGTGAGCCAGGTTTATTCTTAATCTAGCAAATACACTTATTGATGTAAGGCTGCATGTTGCAGGGAAACCTTAAGATTAAAGCAGCACAAACAATAACTGTAAGAAGCATAATAACAATGCAATGGCATACCACATTCATTATAAACTACTTTTTTTTTTAATTCACTGTTTCATTTACTCATCCATTTATCCTTTCAATATGAAATTACTGAACATCTACTCTGGAGCAGCAACCAAGCCAGCTGCTTAGTTTCAACTTTGTCATATTAGATGAAGTGCATGAAACTATTTTGTTCCTAAAACATACAATATAAAGGTTAAAAATAAGCAGCTTAAAGAAAATTTATATATGGAGGGAAAGCAGATAAACCTCATATTAACATTTAATTTAAAGTAAAAACTCCCGCCAAAAAATCAGAGGAAAAAGAAAGAAAACTGGTAAGAGCAAGGATATATGAATTTCATCAGCACACAAAAAATAATAGTTGATAAAATAGGTAAGGCTGTGGCCTCAGGAATGACTGAAAAACATTCCACACCACCTTTTATCTTATATTCTATTTGAAAGAAATAATCATAGTCGTTAAGTTAGCTATATCTTATTTTTTAGAGGCAAAGAGTAAATTTTCCAACCCAGTCAAACCATTTTCCCATTCACCATTTACTTTATGTCAAATATAAACCAAATCCAACCTGTGAGATTTATGTTTTTGCTATATTACTTCCTATGCTCCACCCAATATGGACATATCTTGGTATAGATGCACTTTCCAACTGATAATTATTCAATCATTAATAGATACTCTACTGAGAAATCATTACCTTTCTTGATAGGCTCAATTAACCTGATATTTTGTCTTCAGTGAGTCAAACAGTATTGGAGATCTTGGTTAAAAATGTGTACACTACACTAGGTTAAAAATGTGTACACTACATCGTGAAAATTAATGTCTAATGTCTTGGGCGAGCAAAAGTTTTATTTCTTGCCTTTGCTATGGAACTTTGTCTGCTGGTCTTTCATATTTGCAAATACTGTAGATAAAAATAAAGGGAACTGGAAGTAAAAGCTCTAAAATCCATAACAAGATTTCTCAGAAAGTGTCAAAAAGAATTGACTTGAACGGTACACTAGGGCCCCAAATATTCATAGAAATAAGAAAGGAGAACTTGAGAGTATCTTGTAAATGTATAGATTTATTTTACTCAGATTACTTCGGAGGGGTTGCTGGTTTTATCTTTCTCTAATTGAACTTCACAAAGCTAATGACAGGTCACTTGCTTTGAATGCCTCCTATATATCAAGCATGCTACAGAGCACTTCGCATAATTTAGCTAATTTCCTCTTTACAACCACTCTACAGTGTGCATAGTATTATCGTTTTTTAGAAAAGTAAAAAGCTCAGAGAAGTTAAGTGGCTTGTTCTGGGTCACCCAGCTAGCACGCGCTGGAAGTGGGATTTGAGCAGGACACCCAAGTCCCAGACCTACGCTGATTCACTGTGCTCTGAGGATCTGTTTTCTGAGCCAGACATCTGGCTAATTACCTCATTTGGTTAGAGCATGATACTGGTGAAACCAAGATTCTATATATGTTAGATCACCTTTAGGTCAGTTCGCTTAATAAAAAGAATTCTGCTCCCAATTGTGCTACCTCTGTGTTCCTTTGGTCATTGAAGGAACCAGTACATCAGTATAAAACTTTATCCCTGATAGCCAAACATTTCCAGGTGAATTCAGGACGAATGGCGTTCACTATTCTCACATAGCAGAGATAAAAATATAAAAATGGTGTACATTCCTACCAGGGTTGTTTGCTGGGACATAATAACTTTTATTTTTAAGGTCTAGCTCGATGAGATATAGCCATCAACTTGCGGGACTCCGAGCAGCAGCAAGCTAATAATCATATGACCAGGTCCCCTCCCTAGGTCTATGATTATGGGAAGTAAATTCTTTTTTGTGACTTCCACCAAGTGGATTATTTTTTTAAAGGAGGCACCATTCTATCAAATTATGTAAATAATTCAAAACTTCCTCTTATGCATCTCTCCCTGCTCTTTCCAAGTCACCCAACAATTTGCAAAAATAACCCTGGGAAATGTTTTGGGTGGGCTTTTGAAGATATTTTTAGCTAGACTGGTGGAGGTTTAAAATACAAGCATGCGAGTGTCTGCCATTTAGAGAAATCACCTGCTCACACAGCTCTGTGGAGAAGTGGAATGTTTTAATGTGTGTCATTCAGTACAACATGTGGACTGTATTAAGGCAGGTTATAGCAGGTCATGCCACGTGACACAGCTGAGCCACATATAATCTCAAGCAATACAACATGCTCAATGCAACATAAATTTAAGCAGGAGTAGGTTTTTTACCCTCAAAAAGAGGCAACAGCTGCTGTAGATAACAAAATGCCCACACTACCCCACACTGAGAGGGTTTTGTGCCTTGACATGATCTAAATTATATGGAGGTAGTTCAGTACATCTATATTTAGGGGCCTCTTCTAAATATGAACAATGGGTGTTTTGGTGCATAGAATACATTCTCTAAGTGGCACAAACTTCATGCTTTTTAATAGTCCATTTTGTAATTTTCTCACTAGTGAATAAGAAGCATTTTAAGAGACAGCCTTATAAAGTAGATAGTAGAGACAATTTTTGGCTTAGATTAAACTGGCTTCTGAGCCAGTGGGCCAAATATTTAGTATTCTTATTTAGACTAAAGATAAAATACTCTGCAAGTCCAGCATTAACAAGGCCCAGAGGAAAGAAAACAGCATGGAATCATGATAAAACAAGAAATGAGAGGAAAAGTAGAGAGATGTGCTGCTAAAATCAGCAACAGTTTCCTAGAAAAGTCAGTACCTGTGGCATCATTGGCAAGGATAGCATCCTGAGACCCTCTAGAGGTTTGTCGGATCTTCTGTTTGTTTAATCCTTCTCCCTTGGACTAGGATGTAACACTGTGATTTGAATCACCTTGACTTTGGATATCACTTTTGACATTCAGAGTTAGCTTCTTAAGAAAGCCTCCTAAGGCCGGGCATGGTGGCTCACACCTGTAATCCTAGCACTCTGGGAGGCAGAGACGGGTGGATCACTCAAGGTCAGGAGTTCGAAACCAGCCTGAGCAAGAGCAAGACCCTGTCTCTACTAAAAACAGAAAGAAATGAATTGGTCAACTAAAAATATATAGAAAAAAATTAGCCGGGCATCGTGGTACATGCCTGTAGTCCCAGCTACTTGGGAGGCTGAGGCAGCAGGATTGCTTGAGCCCAGGAGTTTGAGGTTGCTGTGAGCTAGGCTGATGCCACAGCACTCGCACTAGCCCAGGCAACAAAGTGAGACTCTGTCTCAAAAAAAAAAAAAGGAAAAGAAAGCCTCATAAGAACTTCATGAGTAGGAAGTAGGAAGAAAATAAATCTCTTCAATAACCCCACCCAGCTCTGGCCACTCCCATCACGACATAATCCTGCCCAAGCGACACTTACATGTTCATCTCTGTACAGCTATAATTAACCACATGCTAGCTCATAAATCTATGTGAAGCACAAATGTCTTATGATAAGAAAATAAGAGCATTTTCACAGCATCTCCTTTGTATTCATCAATTAATATGAATCAGTTTCATTGAACCCAGTTTGGAACAGTATAAACAAGCTAATTATCATAAATAACAGTATAAACAAGTATAAACAAGCTAATTATCTCACTCTAGGAGGCCCAGGTAGGGGGATTGTTTGAGCTTAGGAGTTCGAGACCAGCCTGAACAAGAGTGAGACCCCATCTCTACTAAACATAGAAAAATTAGCTGGGCATCACAGCACTCACCTGTAGTCCCAGCTACTCAGGAGGCTGGGGCAGGAGGGTCACCTGAGCCCAGGAGTCTGAGGTTACATACAGTGAGCTATAATGATGCCTCTATACTCTACCTGGGGCAAGAGAATGAGACTTCATTAAAAAAAAAAATCCAAGCTAAGTATTTCATTAAAGAGGTGAAATTAAACTTCAGAAACCATTTGGGGACTAGAAAAAGTGTAACAGAGCTCAATTCTGTAGGGTACAATGAGTATGTCTTAGAAATAACTAACATCTATCGACTGCTTAGTAGATACTAAGCACATTACCTGCCTGACGTAATGTAATCCATGAGAAAATTATAACAAAAACAACAAAAGCTGGTAGAGGTTAAGTAGCCAGTGTGTGGCAGAACAAGAATTCGAACCTAGATCTCACTGGAACCAGAGCCAAACACCTCCAACCAAACGCCTATCCTTTGCAACGCCCTCCCCTAACCTTGCCACACTGAAAATTTTCTCTCCATCCTCAGGTTAAATATGTTTTTCCTGGAACTCATGTTTGTCCTTCAGGTTCTCGAAGTGAACATATCGCATCTCCACAAATAAACTGACATTTTCTTGTGGCCCAGGACTGTATAAACTATTTCTTTTTAAATTTCGCATGCCTACCTGTATGTTCGAAGCAAACTAGGCACATAACATTTGCTGAATTAAATGTGTTCTCACTCACGTTTACATAACTGTTGGCCCCATCTTCTCCACTCAGCCCTGACAATATCAGAGAGACAGTTGGGGTTCAAGGAAATAAATAGGGTTAGGCCTGCAAACAACCTGAGTTTCAGTTCCAGCTTTGTCTCATTATAGTTGTATGACACAGAAATTCATTATTTTATTCCTTTGGTTTCCTCATCTCTAAAATTGGGACACATAAAATCTATTCCACAAAGATAAAATAGTGTTACATTTTCCTTTGGATTTTTTTATATTCTACAAAAAAAAAAAAAAAAAAGACAAGAAAATTTAACTGGCAAACGCCTAAGTATCTGTTACAGAGATCAGCAAAATTTCCCTAGACTCCCTCTGTATCATTCATTCATCCCCAGGGAGTCTGTGTGGAGCAAGCACTCTTCTGCAGGGTGATTATCCAACAGTGAGCAAAACCAGACTCAGCCTCTGCTCTCACAGGATTCATGATCTAATGCAAGGCCAGATGTTAGAGCTGAAAATCATTTTATTTTCATACATTCATTTTTAAAATATATCTATAATTTCAATTTTTATTAATGGAACTTTCATGAGTCGATTTAATATCCATCAGATCTGTGATCCTAATAATTGAAATTTCCTGTAAAGTAACAAGACTAAAAATTATACATGACAGTAGGAGTACAGTTGCCCACACATTTCTGAAATATTACTAGTTATGAGTAAAACACTTGGGAATTACAGGGACTGTCATAAAATCATGTCAGGTTTTTTTTTCAGTGTGAAACTGTTGTATCCAAAGTCTCCCAGTTTAGATGCAATACTACAATTTCAGGTCCTAATTTAGCAAGACAAACTTTCAGACCAAAATGGACAACATGGCTTTGGTCATCTCCATTGTATTATTAACATTTGAGATAAGATGAAAATAAAGTGAAACATTACAACACTCATGTGATGACATGTGATATTATATTAAATATTCTGGAGGACTGAATTCTCCATATAAAAAATTCCATCATTATTTGCAGAATTCACCATACTAAATATGACATTTCTACCAATAGGTCTCTTAAACCTAGCATCGTCTTAAAAAATGCATTCATGTTAAAATACATTTCCATTCTGTAGGATTATACTTTTATTTCTCACAAAAAGATGTGGTGTGTTTAATGTTAATAATTCCATAACAAGCAATTAACAGAAAACATAACGAACAGATTTTTTTCAAAAGAAAGGAAAGAGTTATTGGCAATGGATTTCAAAAAATTCCCTGGCTGGCTAAAGATATATCATGCTGGGCAACAGAGTAGGTAAAACCCTTCCATGGCAAACTTTCAAGAACTCATCATTTATGGCCTGCTCCCTGTCCTCTCTTGTCTTCTTTTAAAATGCCAGTCGTGTATGGATGAGGCACATGTTTCTTCTGCCAGTGCCTGCTCAAGCAGACAGTTTACTAATTTGTAGCTCAGTAAACCTTTCACTGCACTGAGCACCTTGAGGTTAGCACATCTCTAATCATTATTTGATAACAGAAATCTGCAAGCATCACATCCCTAGTAACGAGAACATTGTATCTTAGCAACCAGCCTTGATATTCAAACAATTTCATTAAAGCGTAGCACCTCTTAGCAGGTGGGTGAGTGCGGGTGTTGATAAACATTTATAACATGATCAGCCATTGTGTTTGCCAACACTATAATCAGCATGACAAATTTATGAATTTGTTTACAAGCTCCTAGATAGCCAATCTATGTAGGTAAACTACATTTCAGACTGGTTAGGGGATCCAAATATCAGATCCTTATTTGAAATGGAGAGTTTCTTTAGAAACCTATCAATTTAAAAGATTGCCAAGCTGTTCTCAGAGACATCATTAATATTTCCATTGTGGTTTAATCTTCAAACAGTAGAGTTGAATTTAAATGCTTCAGGAGCAAAATCTGAGTGGGAACTTCAGCTACATTGAGATTCATAAGGATCGTGTTGTAAGGTTGAATAGTTTTTCTCCAGATGGACAGAGCTACCTGATATGCCTTTTGTGCCCATTGATCTATTTCACCAATGACTGAAAGAAAACAAATATGGTAAAATCCCCCTTTCTAGAAAGAATAGGATTTTTCAGCAAATACTTTAACACAATTTTAAAACATATTATCAATGTATTTATGTAGACATTCATTTAAGGAATTACTAATCTGGCCAGCAACATGTATCGGTCCAAACTTGAACAGGCTTTTCTCATTTATTTACTTGAATCTAATATCTTCATACAGTATTTGGATTTGTCTGAAATTTAACATTCCATTTTAGAGGGATTTTAACCCTTTTCCTGGTGTATATTTCAGTAAAATATACATATATTTTAAATCCTCACCAACTCAATGCTCTTCAACATTGAAAAGCCTTCCAATCTGGAAAGTACTGCCAGAGCACATCTCCTTCTTAATTATTTTAATACATAACACAGCTCCTAATATGATTATAAGATCCCGAACCTGTGACTGGTCAAGTGCTACCAAGTATGAAAGTTCACTAAGGCATGCAGTGGCAAATAGGTAGAAGAAAAAACAAGGACTTTTATACTTTCTGAAGTTTGAACCTTGAACCTACAGCGCACAGTTAAAACAGGGTCCCTGGGCTCCTCATCCCTGAACAAGCTATTAATCTACCTGAAATAGGTGAACTTCAGTGAAGTATTATCAAATAGGTAACAAGCTTCCTTTCAAATTAAAACCAGCCATGATGAAAAACAAGCTTGTTGACCTAGCTTGTTCACCATGAACCATGACACGTCTGTTAATAACTACCACCTGGGCAACTGCAAGCTTCAACAAGTAGCATTACAAATGTTAGAAAGATTCAGAGACAACAATATAGAGTACGGCCTGAAAGACCACCGGCTCTATATTCAATAATGTTGGTAAAAAAAAAAAAAAAAAAAAAAAAATCAAGGAGAAAGAAAAAAACCAAAAACATTTAAATTTGGGGTCAGAAAGGATCATGATCTGGAGGTTACGCTAGAGCAAAGGCAACAAAAATTGTCTGAATTTGTGTGCATGGTATTAGGTGGGGTAGGGGACAGAGACAGAGGTGGGAAGGTGAGGCTGTCATAGTATTTGCCATATATTGTCCGTTAGGTTAACTATTGTACTTACTAATTTGACAGCTATTCCTCCTGATTTCCTGAAGCTCCCCCATACCTATTTCTTGTATTTTTATTATGTGTATTGAAACTCTTTTTGCCTGAAGGAGAAAATAATTCAGTTTCTGAGGTGGGGGTGAGAAGATTGGAGAGAGGGACAGTGACTGAATCAGAGACGCAGCTGGAATTGGGGTTTACATTTTAGTCAAGTCTTTAAACCTCTTTCTCTAGCCAAGCACTATTAATTTGAAGTTATCAGCCTCTTATATTCAGAATCTAACTTTTCTTAAAAATTAGTCATTTCTGATGAGAATTTTAAACTTGTTTTCTATGTGAGGCTTCGGACAAGAGCCAGTATGTTTGTGAATGTGTAAGAGTGTGTGTGAGTGAGAGTGGGTATGAGCAAGTATGGGGT